ACATCTAGGGCCCAATGAAGGGAAGTGGAACTCCTACCTCTAAAACGTCCCAGTTTGGTGTGCCACCCCGGCGTTCTTTGTTTCCACTGCACAGCTCGACTCATGGAATGAATGGGGGGGCAATGGCCGCACCTCAGCAACACGATCCGATAGCCCGGTTGTCTTCCTTTGAACCAGAATCGGTGGTCTCCTCAAATTTGAAGCACCAAAAGAAACTTCATCTACAAACCGCAATTTCTACACCTCGCGATGGTGTCGGTTGGGTCCCAGATATATCCCCTGGTAAAAAAAAACCAATGTCAAAGTGTATGGTTTTCTCACATTGTGTCCACCAGACTTGAGTGGGGTTGTGGGAGGTGAAACCCTGAACCGGTGTCAGGTAAAACTACTTCTACGATTGTAGTACATCACAAATACGGGTCCACCATCCCACGATTGCGCCCTCACGTCAATACCACTATTCTTTTCTCGCGTAGCGCCTTCGGCGTCTGTTGATAGACGATAGATGCTGCAATTGGCATATGAATACACTGTTCAGAAATTCAAAAAATCAAATGAATCTTCCATCATCTCGTTGAGTTCATCGTCATCCGGCCACGAGAGATCTTCCGCTGCAGCCGCTGCTGTCTCTGAGATCCTATGGGCCTTGCAGGCGTCCGCTCCGGACGACTCACCCTGTGGCTCCTGATCTGGCCGCAAGATCGCAGCCGCTGCAGCCACTGGTGTATCTGAGATCATATGGGATGCACAGGCGTCCGAATCAGCCTGTGGCTCCTTGCCAGGTAATCCGAGAATACCCAGCCCAAGATCAAGCGCCAGTTGGGAATGCAGTTGTGGAGGGAAACGGAACATGAACAAAGCACAAGATTTAACAATGCATAATGTTGGAAATATAGCCTCAGCGACAAAACATCAGATGTAACACCGCACAGTGTGGGAAGCAATTTCAGTAACAAAAAACTCAACCTTGAGAAGGGCCATTCCAGCAAAAAAGTAAAGTTGCGAAGGGCCAGGCATTCCAGAAAAACACTTTCCAACTTGGAATTTCCAACAACCAAAACATAACGTTGGGAAGGGCCATTCAAAGGAGATTCAATGAACCTCGCTGACCACCTGCGTTACACACTTTTGGGGGGCAATACACCTCCCTTGGATGGCGCTTCGTAACGTTACGTTGTTACCCTTGCACGTTGCTTCCCTGTCCTTGAACAGCTTGTTTGGTCAGTCAACCCAAACAGTTCTCCGATCAATTGCAGCCTGATGACTGGAATGAAAATACTCTGGGGGGCCAAAACTGTGGGACTTCATGGTTTGTAGTGAAGATCCTTGGCGTTTGCGCTGGAATGTGTCCGTCAGAGCAACGGTTGTGCACATCGCGTGCGTGAGTCACATCGCACCAAGCTTTCGCATCATCAATGCTCACTGTCCTGAAACAAGCCTCATCGACAACAAGTCCCTCACCTGGGTGCACGGTGATCTTATGCATCTGATCAAGCTTGCTGACAAAGTGGATGCCAGCGCGGCATGTGGACAAAAGCACGGATATAGCCATTTCAGTCTTCCCAGTCCCAGGCGGACCACGCAGGATTAAGGTATGGGTGAGGGATTGGGTCTCCTTCCACTGCAGGACCCGTGGAGGTACATCAAAGTGCTCCAAAGGAAAGCGTGGTGAGGTGATAAGAGTTGAAGCCCCCAAGGTTTCAGGTCGGTGCCACGCAGCCAAGATTTTCTGCACTTCCGCAGCTGGATCCCGAAACTGCCCCACATGGTCCCAAACCAAAGAGTTGCCACGCATCTTTTCCTCTTTGGCGGCCTGGCGATGAGAGGGAATTATAAACAAAGCACTTTGGGCATGACCACGAAACCCGCGGCATCCCCAACGAAGTGATTGGACCAAACATTGGACTGCCTATGATGCACCTTGTCGTTCCAACCGCGTTGTTTCTACCAAGGAGGATGCTTATCTAAGACTGATATTACGCTTGATGGAAAACAGTCTCCAGATTGTATGTGTGCCAGGCCTTCCATAGCTCTGCCACGGTTGAAATCTTCCTTTCGACAACAAAGTCTGTAAGCTCGCTAAAAGACATGCGCCGGCGTCGTTTCTGCAAGGCCTCCGACGGACCTTTCTGCAGCCCCTCATTCTTCTTTCTGCCAGCCACCTGCGAGGACATCCCTGCAAGCTCGCCATCAGCTTTCTGCTTGGTGTAACTTGACGGATAAAACACAAGGTCACGGTCTAAATCATGCGCTGGTTTCTTTGCGCTCTCCATCATCAGGTAATCCAGATAGGCGCACCAGCCCGCGCGATGAAATGTGAAGAATCCATGGTACCCAAACTCTTCGGCCAACAGCTTGCGAACGCCAGCGTGCACAAACGGAGCTCGAAACAGAAAGATGAGGTGTTTGTGTCTTTCCCGAGAAGCACCGTCGGGCTGGTAATGCTTGTGCGGTTCATCCGCCACGGCAGCCTTCACAAGATTGTGCAAGTAACCTTTGCTCTTCAGCGCTTTTGTGAAGGCCTCCAACAGTTTCTCCTTGGAAACATCACAAGGCTTAAGGACCTTTGCTGCTCGTCGATCTTCCAAGTCTTGGAAAAAAAATGCCGCGGACATGGCCAAGTAAACATACCAGCATATGCCCTCGCTTTAGCTGGTGCATTCTCAGCCTCTGTGGAAGTGTCGCTGTTGCCCAAAGTCACAGATGGTTTTTCCTCCTCATGGCTTGATGAAGAGGACGAAGAGGACGAAGCGGGCGAAGCGGATCCGGAGGACTTCGACGTGGCCATGGCCTTGGACATGATTAGTGATGATTTACAGTTGCGTGCATTATATACAACTACCATCATAGAGTCCTAAACTTGGTGCGTTTTGTTTGGCAGGAACCACAGTTTGAGTAAACTAAAAGTGCGCCAAAGCTTGCGCCTTCCACGAAACATGAAAGCAAAGGTTCACCAAACGCTGCGCCTGCCACAAAACCTGCACTTCGAGGTTCATAAAGTGCTGCGCCTGCCATGAAATCTGCACTTCGAGGTTCACAAGACGCTGCCCCTCCTACGAAATCTGCACTTAGAGGTTGACAAAGTGCTGCGACTGCCACGAACTCTGCACTTCGAGGTTCTCAAAATGCTGCCCCTCCTGCGAAATCTGCACTTTCAGGTTCACGAAATCTCCACTTCGAACTTCGAGGTTCCCAAAATGCTGTGCCTGCCATGAAATCTGCACTTCGAGGTGTACAAAGCGCTGCGCCTGCCACGAAATCTGCACTTTCAGGTGCACAAAGCGCTGCGCCTGCCACGAAATCTCCACTTGGACGTTCAGAAAGCGCTGCGCCTGCCACGAAATCTGCACCTGGAGGTTCACAAAGCCCTGCGCCTGCCACGACATCGGCACCTCGAGGTTCACAAAGCGCTGCGCCTGCCACGAAATCTCCACTTTCAGCACAGCCAGCGCGGCCAAAATCGGAGTACTCCCCACACGAAAACGCAAATCATAACGTTGGAATCCAACGTTACGATCCGTTTTCGGCGACAGTTTCACAAAAAAAGTGCAAATCATAACGTTGGACTCGGTTCAAAAAAGAGAATTACTATAATCTTTTTCAAACGCATCCAACGTTACGATTTCGACTTTTGTCCCACGCCTGCCACGTAAAACGAGCATAACGTTGGATTCCAACGTTACGATTCAGCGTCTGGCCACACGTTGGGCCACCTGGAGCTTCAAATTCCGTGCGCCGGCCACGAAACATGAAAGCAGGTTTTCACCAAACGCTGCGCCTGCCACCAAAAATCGAACTAGAAGTTTAAGAAATGCTGTGCTTGCCACGAAAAATGGAACAAGAAGTTCACTAAATGCTGCGCCTGCCACGACAAATGGCAACAGAGGTTCACCAAAAGCTGCGCCTGCCACGAAAAGTGGAACTAAAGTTTACCAAACGCTGCGCCTGCCCCGAAAAATCGAATCAGAGGTTCAACAAATGCTGCGCCTGCCACGAAAAGTGGAACTAGAAGCTTACCAAATGCTGCGCTTGCCGCAAAAAAATGGAAACAGAGGTTCACCAAATGCTGCACCTGCCACGAAAAGTGGAGCTAGAAGTTTAACAAACGCTGCGCCTGCCCCGAAAAATCGAATCAGAGGTTCACCAAATGCTGCGCATGCCACGCAAAGAGGTCCCCTGTGCGTGCCACGAAAACTGATTCCACAAGTAGCGCACGCATTGACGGTCCCTATGGGACACTATGCAAGAGGTTAAAGGAAATGAGTGTGTTTTTGCATTTTCTACACATCACTTGTGACACTGCGGTTCCTCTTCGACTATTGAGTGAAAAATGGAAGTTCTCTGTTTTGAGATGGAGCTGATCATTTCAATATGTTGTGACTGAGCCACATGATGATCGAATCAGACAGAGGTTCAGCAAGGTGACGGCTTCCAAGCTCTGTTCCTGAGGTCGCCCGGCGCGCAAAAGCACGCTCGAACGCAACTTCCAAACTCCCCCAAAGTGCGGACACCGCACGGCACTGAGAAGGCCGAGGTTAATGCGAATGAAAGTTTGGATCCATGTGTCCAGTGTGCATATCAATCGGACCCCAGCAGCCGAAAACCGAAACCATGGGGGTATCTAACACTGAAGGCAACGCCAACATGCCCCACCGCGTCGCCCAACACGCCGAGCGGCCACCTGCATGACAAACGCAGCAAGGTCCAAGCCGAAGGTCAAAGCCTGCAGGTTTGCTCTGCAAGGCGACGGCTTCCAAGCAGCCTGTTCCTGAGGTCACACCGGCGCGCGACAGCACGCCCAAATGCAACTTCCAAAATTATCACTGAAATACGGGCAGCTCACGGCACTGAGAAGGGCGAGGTTAACACGAATGAAAGATTGGATCCATGTGTGCATATCAATCGCCCCAGCAGCCGAAAATAGAAAAGCGTGGAGACATCTAATAAATGTAAAATAGGGGATGCACTCATCACCGACATCCCACCCACCGCGTCGCCCAACTGCATGACAAACGCCGCAAGGTCCAAGCCGAAGGTCAAAGCCTGCAGGTTCGCTCAGCAAGGCGACGGCTTCCAAGCAGCTGTTCCTGAGGTCACACCGGCGCGCGACAGCACGCTCGAATGCAACTTCCAAAATATCTCCCGAAATGCGGACAGTGCACGGCACTGAGAAGGCCGAGGTTAAACACAAATGAAAGTTTGGATCCATGTGTGCATATCAATCGTCCCAGCAGCCGAACGCAGAAAGCATGTGGACATCTGAACCTAAATAAGGGATGCACTGAAGGCATCGCCAACACGCCCACCCCAGGAGCCCCTAGTAGCGTCCTTGCCCCTATAGTAGTAAGGCAGGAAGTAGCATCCTTGCTCCTAGTAGTAAGGCCAGGACCCCCTAGTAGCGTCCTTGCTCCTAGTAGTCAGGCCAGGAGCCCCTAGTAGCATCCTTGCTCCTAGTAATAAGGCAGAGCCCCTAGTAGCATCCTTGCTCCTAGTAGTAAGGCCAGGAGCCCCTAGTAGCGTCCTCGCTCCTAGCGATAAGGCCAGGAGCCCCTTGCTCCTAGTAGCAAGGCCAGGAGCCCGCGTCACCCGACAGGCCGAGCGGCCACGTGGCCGGTTGATACGACCACGGGCGAAGAGCTCGAAGTCGAAGAAGGCACCTGCATACCGACGAGCGAGCGACCGCGGTAGTAAGGCCAGGAGCGCCGAGTAGCGTCCTCGTTCCTAGTCATGTGCCTAGTGGCGTCCTTGCTCCTAGTAGTAAGGCCAGGAGCCCCTAGTAGCGTCCTTGCTCCTAGTAACTAGTAATAAGACCAGAGTAAGGCCAGGAGCCCCTACTAGCGTCCTTGCTCCTAGTATAAGGCCAGGAGCCCGCGTCACCCAACAGGCCGAGCGGCCACCTGGGCTGGTTGACACGACCACGGATGAAGAGCTTGAAGTCGAAGAAGGCACCTGCAAACCGACGAGCGCGCGACGCAGTAGTAAGCCCAGGAGCGCCGAGTAGCGTCCTCGCTCCTCGCAATGTGGCCAGGAGCCCCTAAGAAGGCCAGTAGCAAGGCCAGGAGTCCTTGCTCCTAGTAACAAGGCCAGGAGCCCCCCTACTAGCGTCCTGAAAGTAAGGCCAAGAGTCCCTAGTAGCGTCCTTGCTCCTAGTAATAAGGCCAGGAGCCCCTAGTAGCGTCCGTGCTCCTAGTAGTAAGGCCAGGAGCCCGCGTCACCCCACAGGCCGAGCGGCCCCCTGACCGCGGATGAAGAGCTCGAAGTCGAAGAAGGCGCCGCGCATCAGCCGCTGGCGCATCAGCCACCGAATGACATGGAGCGGCGAAACCAACAATTGAAAAGCGCTACATCCACAACGCAACATAACGTTGCCATTAGCAACCGAAGCAAACGTTGAGCAAGGTCATTTGCTCGAAAAGTGTAACAAAACAGAATGTTGAGAAGGGTCCTTGAAAGCACTAGGAGCAACAAAGTCCACAGTCTTGGCAGGGTCAGATTGTGGTTTTGCTATCATCTTGTGGTCTGCTTGTCTTTAATTTCTGTGATACCGTTTTTCCTTTCAAAGTTGTTCCGCTTCCTGGCTGCAATCCAGAGCAAGAATGACCGAAGGGTTTCCGAAAACTGCTTCTGGAGGTGGTCCAAAACATAAACCCCGGTAACAAGGCAAGGGCAACCGCACGCAACCAAACAATTTGCGTCACATGTTTCTTTATTGGGCCAACCCTGTAGTTGACGCATCATATTACACGGTAATAGTATGTCAACATCAAACATCTCACTATCTCTTTGAGGAGCTCATATTATCTGCCTCAGCTGCTGCAGGGTACTGCGGGCACGACAAACTTGGACTAGCAAGCCTAGACAGAGAGAGAGGGAGAGATGTGAGGGACTCTAGCCCAGCATACGCCAGCTTTTGCGAGCACGGCCAGTTCGGCAAGGTTGCTCTTACAGCCCGCGCTCAGCAGTTGTCAGCTTAGCTGTAAACAAAAAGCTAGCACGTGGGTGACAGGTGACATATTTATCGCTTGCGCCGGCTTCTGCGAGCACGGCCACTTCAGCAAGGTTGCTCTGACAGCCCCCGCTCAGCAGTTGTCAGCTTAGCTGTCAACAAAAGCTAGCACATGGGCGCAAGTCTCTCTTTCCCCAAACACTGCCAATGTGCCCTGCAATATAGCTATGTGGACATCTGCTCAGACTGCTCAGATTGCACTCGACGCGCCAGCAGCCAGGTGAGATCAGCAGAGCTCAACTTGCCAGCGCGCCGCATGAGTCTCTGTCGCTTTTTTCTCCTGCATGTGCGCCAGAATGAGTCGCGCCGCGCGCAAGTCGGAAGCACAAGCAACACAATACTGCATCAAATTTCAACAATACATGTGGATCATGCGCCGGTCGCCTCATTGCGAACCTCACGGTTCGCTTGCTGGAGCTGCCGCTTCAGGTTCTGCCGCTGTGTTTTGAGCGAAACCAGCCGATCGGCGGCTGGGTGCCTCACGACTTAAATTCATCAGGAAGTGGTTGGAGGTCTGAACCAGTCTGGTGC